GCCAGGTAAGTTCCTCCTACAACTGATTCTACATATAGAACATCTAAAATTGAGGGAAATGAAAAATATATGACGTACGTTCATAACTATTCAATGGAGGAAAAGGAGAGAAGGAAAAATACAGGTGAAAACAGAGAACAACAGACAATGATTTGGCAGTAGGATGAAGAAGAACTGAAGTAGTTGAAAATGCTCCCTGGGTGTCGATGGCCGCACGTTCTCAGAAGGGCACATGCCCTCAGTGTTTTTTCCCATCTCTTTCTCCACCTTCAGGTGAAATAACGAAAATGCAACCAAGCTTAGAACTCTTTAGTGAATGCTGCTATCAAAGTTACAACACATAACTCAACTAATTTGCTTCTGAGTTTAGTTTTAAGTACCAGGTATGGAATCTCAGTTTTCCCTTGCAGGGCTGCCCTCTGTTGGTTACTCTCAGACAGCTCCAATAATGCCAGTAGCTGAGCAATTGACACCGAGAAGCATCTACTTTACTCCTTACCTAAACACGTGAATTTATTCACATTATCCCCTTTATATAGATGAGAATGTGAGGCTTAAAGGGGGAAACGTAGCTTAAGGTCACAAGTAGTTTGGGGAAAAGCTCAAATTTGAACTTGGGACTAACTTTAAAGCCTCTAATCTTTTTTTTCCTTCCAGTTTTATTGAGATATAATTGACATAAAGCACTGTATAAATTTAAGGTCTACACACAATGATTTGACTTACACACATCATGAAATGATGACCACAATAAGTTCAGTGAGCATCCATCATCTTACACAGATGCAAAATTAAAGAAATAGGAAAAACCATTTTCCTTATGATGAGAACTCATAAGATTTACTCTCTTAATAACTTCCATAGATAACATACAGCAGTGTTCATTGTATTTATCATGTTGTACATTACATCCCTGGTACTTAGCTTATCTTATAACTGGAAGTTTGTACTTGCTGACTGCCTTCGTCCAATTCCTTCTCCCCTGCCCCTGCCTCTGGTAATCACAAATCTGATCACTTTTTCTATGAGTGTTTGTTTTTCCTGTGCACAGCATAGAGATGCAATATTTCTATACGTTTCAAAATGATCACCACAATAAGTCTAGCTCTAGTATGTCACCACTCAAAGATAGTACATAGATATTGACTATATTCCCCACGCTGTGCATTTCATATGCATGACTCATCTGTTTTGCAACTGGAAGTTTGTACCTCTTAATCTCTCTCACCTATTTCATTCCTCCCCACACGGCCCTTCCCTCTTGATAACCACCAGTTTGTTCTCTGTATCTATGACTCTGTTTCTATTTTGTTATGTTTGTTCATTTGTTTTTTTCTTTTTGGATTCCACATATAAGCAAACTCATAAAGTATTTGTCTTTCCTGTCTGAATTATTTCATTTAGAATAATGCCCCTCAAGTCCATCCATGTTGCTGCAGATGGCAAGATTTCATTCTTTTTATGTCTGAGTAGTATTCCATCGTATCTGTATGCACCACATCTTCTTTATCCATAAATCTATCAGTCGACACTTAGGTTGCTTCTGTATCTTGGCTATTGTGAATAATGCCACAATGAACATAGGGGTACATGCATCTTTTCAAATTAGTGTTTTCATTTCTTTTCAGATAAATACCCAGGAGTGAGATTGTGAGAGCAATGGTGGCTTTATTTTTAATTTTTTGATGAATCTCGCACTGTTTTCCATGGTAGTTGCACCAATTTTCATTCCCAACAACAGTGCGCCATGATTCTCTTTTCTCCACATCCTGCCAATACTTGCTATTTGTCGTCTTTTTGATGATAGCCATTCTGACAGGTGTGAAGTGGTATCTCATTGTGGTTTTGATTTGCATTTCTCTGATGATTAGTGATGCTGCGCATCCTTTCAGATGCCTATTGACCATCTGTATGTCTTCTGTGCAAAAATGTCCATTCAGATCCTCTGCCCGTTTTTCAGTAGAGTTGCCTCTTTTTTTTGATGTTGAGTTGTAGAAGTTCTTTATATATTTTGGATATTAACCCCTGACTGAGAATATCATTTGCAACTATCTTTTCCCATTCAGTAGGTGGCCTTCTTGTTTTGTTGGTCGTTTCCTTCATTGTGCAAAAGACTTTTAATTTGATGTAGTCCTATTTTTTCTATTTATTTTTTCTTTTGTTTCTCTTGCTTAAGGAGATAAATTAAACAAAAATTACTAGCACCAGTGTCAAAGAGTGTACTGTCTATATCTGTCTATATTTTCTTCTAGAACTTCCATGGTTTCAGGTCTTACATTTAAGTATTTAATCTATTTTAAATTAATTTTTTTATATGGCGTGAGAGAGTAGTCCAGTTTGACTCTTGCATGTAGCTGTCCATTTTTCCCAACACCATTTACTGAAAAGGCTATATTTTCCCTATTGTATATTCTTGCCTCATTGTTGGAGATTAATTTCCCATATAAGTGTGGGTATGTTTCTGGGCTCTCTGTTCTGTTCCATTGATCTGTGTGTCTGTTTTCATGCCAATACCAGACTGTTTTGATTACTTTGGCTTTGTAGCATAGTTTGAAATCGAAGAGTGTGATACCTCCAACTTCATTTTTTCCCCTCAAGATTGTTTTGGCTATTTGGGATCTTTTGTGTTTCCATTCAAATTTTAGAATTATTTATTCTAGTTCTGTGAAAAATGTCATTGGTATTTTGATAGGGATTGCACTGAATCTGTAGGTTGCCTTGGGTTCTATGGTCACTTTAACAATATTAATCCTTCCAATCCATGAACACAGGATAGCTTTCCATCTGTTTGTGTTGTCTTCAGTTTCTTTCATCAGTGTCTTATAGTTTTCCCTATAAAGGTCTTTTACTGCCTTAGTTAGATTTATCCTAGGAGGTTTTTCTTTTCTTTTTTTTTCTTGATGCAATTGTAAATGGGATTTTTCCCCCCTAATTTCTCTTTCTGATAGTTCCTTGTCAGTGTATAGAAATGGAACAGATTTGGATACTAATTTTGTATCCTGAAATTTTCCTGAATTCACTGATGAACTTTAGTAGATTTTGGGTGGTATCTTTAAGATTTTCTATGTATAATATGTTATCTGCAAACAGTGACAGTTTTACTTCTTCCTTTCCAGTTTGGATTCCTTCTGTTTATTTTTCTTGTCTGAACGCCGTGGCTTGGACTTCCAGTACTATGTTGAATAAAGGTGGTGGAAGTGGGCACCCCTGTGTGAGTCCTGATCTTAGAAGAAATGCTTTCAGCTCTTCACCACTGAGTACGACAGCTGTGGGCTTGCCACTTATGTTCTTTATTATGTTGAAGTGTGTTCCCTCTCCACCCACTTTGTTGAGAGTTTTTATTACAAGTGGATATTGAATTCTGCCACAAGTTTTTTTCTGCATCTATTAAGACAATCATATGATTTTTACTGTTTAATTTGTAAATGTGGGGTATTACATTGATTAATTTGCAAATATTGAAACATCCTTGTACCCCTGGGATAAATCCCACTTGATCATGGTGTATGATCCTTTTAATATATTGTTGCAGTCAGTTTGCTAATATTTTGGTGAAGATTTTTTCCATCTATGTCCATCAGTAATATTGGCCAGTAATTGTGTGTGTGTGTGTGAAATCTTTGTCTGATGTTGGTATCAGTGTGATACTGACTTCACAGAATGAGTTTGGAAGTGTTCCTTCTTCTGCAATTTTTTGGAATAGTTTGAGAAGGATAGGTGTTAATTCTCTAAACGTTTGCGAGAATTCACTTGTGAAGCTGTCTGATCCTGGGCTTTTGTTTGCTAGGGTTTTTTAAAATTATGGATTCAATATCATTACTGGTAACTGGTCTATGCATATTTTCTATACCTTCCTATTTCAGTCTTGGAAGATTGATGATACATTTCTAAGAATTTGTCTATTTCTTCTAGGTTGTCCATTTTATTGGTGTATAATTATTCATAGTAATCACTATGATCCTTTGATTCTTTTTTTTTGTAGAGTAGATTTAGTGTTGAACTCTGAGTTTTTGCTTGTCTGAGAAGTTTTTATCTCTTTTTTAATTCTAAATAATAATCTTTCTGGGTAGAGTATCCTAGATTACAAGTTTTCCCTTTCAGCCACATGAATACATCATGACACTGCCAAGTTTCTTCAGAGAAATCAGCTGATAGCCTTATGGGGGTTCCCTTTTATATGACCCCTTGTTTTTCTCTTGCTGCCTTTAGAATTCTCTATTTTTAACTTTTGCCATTTTAATTATGATGTCTTGGTGTGGGGCTCTTTGGGTTCATCTTGTTTGGGATCCTCTGTGCTTCCTGTATGTGGATATCTGTTTCCTTTTTCAGGTTTGGGAAATTTTCAGCCATAATTTCCTCAAATGCATTTTTAATGCCCCCCCCCCTTCTGGGACCCTTATAATGTGAATGTTGATATGCTTAATGTTATTTAAGAGGTCTCTTAAACTGTTTTCATTTTTTAAAATTGCTTTTCTTTTTGCTGTTCTGGCTGGGTACTTTTCATTATTCTACCTTCCACATCACTTACATGTTCTTCTGTATCACTTAATCTTCTAGTCATTCCTTCCAGAGTGTTTTTTTTTTAACTTAGTTATTGAATTCTTCATTTTTGATTGTCTTTTTTATATTTTCTAGTTCCTTGTTAAAATTCTCACTGCATTCATTTATTCTTTTCTCTGACTCACTTAACATTTTTATTACTAAAGTTTTGAATTCTTTATCTAGTAAATTGTTTATTTCTGTTTCAGTATGTGTGCTTTCGGGGGTTTTCTCTTGCTCTTTCAGTTAAGACCAGTTCCTCTGCCTTTTCACTTAACGTTTTGTGCCTCTGTGATGTAGGTGAAACGCTTACCTATTGCGGTCTGGAAGGGGTGTTCTTCTGTGGGAGTGTCCGTGTGCAGACTGCATGTGCTTTTGGTGGGAGAGCTGGATTTGATGTGGCTGCATCATGTCTTTCCTGAGATGTGCTGACAGTTATCACCCAGGGAGTTGGGGGTGGGGGCTGGAGACGGCGCGGCTAGAGCTGGAGCCAGGTGTGCGGCAGGACTTCCCTCTGCTCCGTGGCCACTGCTGCCCCATGTTGGTGGGGGGAGGGACCTGATCCCAAGTTGTTGGAACAGAAGCCCTGAGGGTGGAGCCCAAGCTGGCTCTGCTCCTGATAAGCGTGTTTCCCCTCCCCCAGCACTAGGACTCTTCCCCCAAAGGGTGTGTGCTGCACAAGGGGGCCCCATGCGGGCTCTCAGCTCCTGTCAGCCACAGACAGAGGTCCAAGGTGTCTCTGATGCGCTGCCTGAACAAGTGCCAACCATTGTGTCCCTTGCTCTGCTCAGACGCAGCCTGAGTACGAGCCCCCTTTGTCCCTCACAGCTGATCACTGGCCCCAGCCTCCGCCACCCCTGCCCTGCCCTGCCCTGGAGTCACACTGCAGGGCAGGTGGGGCCCACGTGGACTCTCAGGACATACTGACATTTGTGCTGTCGTGGCGTGGCCAGCATCAGAGTCCAGGGTTCTTCTGATGTGCTGCGTGAGTAAGTGAGATTGAACATCTTTTCCTATGTTTCATAGGTCATTTGGATTTTTTCTATAAATTGTGCCTTTGTATTCTTTGCTCATTTTAAAAATGTTTACTTTTTTATTGAAGTGTAGTTGATTTACAATGTTAGTTTCGGGGGTACATCTTTGATCATTTTAATATTAGTATGTTTGCTTTTTATTGATATGTAGGAGCTCTCATAGAATGGATATTCATCCTTTGTCTACAATTCAGGTCATAAATATTTCTCTCCCACCTTGTTGTTTATCTGTTAAATTTTATTTATGGTGCCTTTCCCCCTATGGACGTCCTCTTCTTAATGTCTTCTTGGATTGATGTCTTATTAGGGAAGCCTTTCTTAGCCCAATTTATAGAAGTATAAAATTTTTTTTCTCATATTTTCATAGTTTTGATTTTATGTTTGAGCATTGGTTTATGTGTGGTAAGGAGCTAATTTTATTTTAGGTTTTCTAAATGGAAGACGAGCTGTACTCTAACCATTACTGACACTTTCTCTACTGATTTGAAATGCTTGTTAAAATAAATTCCCTAATATCGAAGGCTTTGGGGCTTATATATATTCTATTGATCTGCTGTCTGTGTCCATCCTCATGCTTTACATATTACTTTATGTGTTTCTGTCTTACAGAGCAGCTTCTCCGTCATTGTATTCCAAGATTTTCTCTTGTATATTTTTATTTCCAGGGGAGCTTCAGAACCAGAATGTCAAATTCCAAAAAGAATCCTCTGGGGATTTTAGTTTGGATTAATTCGGAGAAATTGACAGCATCATCTTAATCCTCACTTACCTGAATATATATACTCTGTGCTCTACCACTCTTTGTAAAGATGTTTTATGAATATGATTTCACAAACCCCTTGCAGTGACCCAACAGGGCGGTTTTATTAGTCTCATTGTCCAATGAAAAAATGGAGGTTTAGAGAAGTTAAGAAATTTGTCCAAAGTCACTGGATTAGTAAATTGCTAAACCAAAATTTTAATCACAATTTGTCTGACTCCAGAATATCGCTTCTTAACCACGACTGGACAATGGTCTTTAAAATGTTAATAGTTTAATGGAACAGGGTATGTTTCATCAAGAAAAAGGCCGAATCTCTCTTGTTTCTTGTTGATTGTGGAAGCAGCTGGCCTTGAGTCCCCCTAGTGCGAAATTAGGGACAGTGGCCACTAGAATGAGCAGGAGGACAGGGACAAAAGCAAGATCTAATAAAGAGATGGATCTGAGGAAATGTTCAGGTGTGTGTGATTGGAAGCTCAGGACTGGGAAAGGTGGGACATGCTTGGGAGAAGCCTGCAGAGGGAAGAGGCCTCCCCAGGCAGAGCTCATCTGGGTGTCACAGGACTTAGGGAAGAACTGGGTCCCTTTGGGTTCCCTGCTCTTGTTCATAAGGCCACCTGTGCCCTAAAGTCTGGTTCATGAATAGAAGCCCAGTTATATCTCACCTTCTTTCTCTCCTTCTAAAGAGCTTCTCTTAACCTTTCTGTCAGAAATGAAGGATTGCCTCAACATATCATAACACATCTATAAAATGGATTGCCATGCAATCATTAAAAATGATGCTACAGAGAATATTTAATGACATGGGGGAATGTCCTATGTAAAAGAGCTGACTCTAAAGTAAGAAGCCAGTCTGATTCCATTTTGCTTTGGAAAATTCTATATAAAGACATACACGAAAAGATAACATCAATGTTGTGAATTGCACATGATTTTGATCTCCTTTCTCATAATTTTCTGTATTTTTCAGCTTACTTATGATGACAGCTAATGTGTTTGCAAACAGTGAGAAAACAAACATTACACATGCGTGCACACACACACACACAATCAGTTAAGGTAGTAGACCACATAGTGTTCTGTCTTAAAGCTGATCCAAGCTCTTTTTTCTTCCCTTATTGGTCTTAATAAAACACTGCAGAAATACTTAGGACCAGTGGTTCTCAAAGTGTGGTCCGTGGACCAGCAGCCGCAGCTGTATCTGGGCCCCTCCCAGACCTACTGAATCAGAAACAGCCCAGCAGGGCTCAGCCACGAGTGCTCCTGCAAGTTCTCCGGGAGATTCCGGTGCTCACTGAAGTTTGAGAACCCTGGGTTTAAAAGACCAGACGAATTCATTCTAATGCTAGGTGTCTCAGAGGCCTGAGTACCAGATTCTTGGATCTGCGTGTCGGGATGCTGGACCCACCTGCAGGGCGCCCCCTTCCCCAGGACGTCCTCGCAGTCCTCTCCAGGGGCGCAGGGGCGCGGGTCCCCCGCTCGGCAGCGACACTCGGCTTCCCCGGTCCACTCGTTCCTCACACACAGGAAGGATTCGCCGCAGGCCAGGAACTTGCAGGGATCTGCTCGATCGGCTGCAAGAAACGGGGCGGATTTTATTGCTACGTGGACCCCTGAGCAGCGGAACCAGCAGAGGTCAAAAGATCAAACAGACCAAATAGATTTGCCATCACCCCGTTTTGGAGTGAGTTGTACAGGAATGAGAACAGAGTGGAGTGAAAACAGAACCACGCGTTTCTGTATCTTCGATAAATGAATTTATAGACACAGGTGATAACATATTTAGCTCCAAATGCAACGATGGGCACATTGGTGCGCATCAGAATCATCCAGAAGCCTTGTTGAAACACCGGCTCCTGGGCCCCACCTGAAGAGTTTCTGATGCAGGAGGTTTGGGATAAGGACAGAGAGCTTGTATTTCTAAGGCACTAACAAGCAAACAAACGAACAAAATTAATTCTCTAATGCAGGTGAAGTTGATGAATCTGACCTGGGGCAGGGGGTGTCACATTTTGATAACCACTGCATTAGAGAATTAAAAAAATTTTTGTTTGTCAGATTTTTCTTTACAGCAAGCATCTTTTGTAGAGGTGAATTGGTAAATTTACATATTTAAGATCGGGATATCTTATAAAGTAGTAGTCAGTCATTTTTATGGACAGTTTCCAGAACTGGGGATGATTTCCTGACTTAAAAGATGCATTTCTCACAGTCTTTTGCTGATCCCTAAGGCCCTAATGTTAGAGGTTCTTTCCTTTGGAAAACTCAAATAGACTACTGTTCTCTTTTGGTCATCAATTGTTCTCTTAACTCTTTTCTTACTTCTGTAGGACTGTCTCAAATTCTTTGTAAAACGGATTATAAGAGCAGAGACTTGTGAACAGGAGGGAAGGAAACTTAGACAGGAGGGGTGAGTTTGGTCCAAACTGGTGGGCCTTGAATACCTCGCTAAGGAATCTGGACTTTACAGGCAGGTGGGAGCCATGGAGGATTTCGGAGCAGGGGAAGGGCATGAGCAGACTTGTGCTTTAGAAAATATTTAAATAGATCTTAGAAGTTTCAGAATCAGGATGGCTTCAGTGATCTTCTCTTCTAGTATTTCCCAATTGAGAATATTTGCCAAACTCGAATTCAGCAGGATTTAATATTTTATACTAAAAAGAAGTTTGGTGGCTAAATGAGTTTTTTTTTTAATGCTGATTGAAATAAATGTAACAGTTCTTTCTTGTGTGTTCCTTCTCTCTCTCTCTCCATCCTCACACCTTTCTCTTTTTTACTTTTAAACCTCTTAGAGTCCCTAATAAGCTGATGTTGATTGTGAATCTTCACGTGGAGGACATGGTCAGCTGCTTTGCCAGGTTTACTGACCACAGGAGTTCTGTGTACGGGCGGGTGGGGGCGGCTTGTGGGACAAGAATTGACCTTCATGTTCACTGTCCTGATCTAGCGCCTCCTTGTGGTGGAAGAAGTGAGAGCCGGAGGTGGGGGGTGGGGTTAGTGAGACCAGCCTAAGCTGAGGGCAAAAGCAGGTCCTTGAAAACATTTGTGGGTCTCCCAGCACCGCAGACCTGCTAAGTTTTTACATTAAGCTGTATTTCTCAGCAGCTCTCAAGAAGGGTCCTTTTGGACAGCCACGCCTGGATGATGTGAACTGTCTTTCCCCACCTCAAGGTTCCTAAAGCTGGCCCCGCAAAGGGATCCTTGTTTAGAGAATAACTCAGTAACAGCTGTCAGCAACTTTACACCCAGGTCCTGAAAGCAGAGTCCAGGAGCGGGTCATTGGAGCCTCCCGCCCTCTCTCGGAAGTGGAGAAATATGTTTAACTTGGAAGACCCACGGAGAGCATGGTTTCTGCCCCTCTGAAGAGTCATAGGAAATGTGTGATAATCACACACGTTTCCTGTTAAAAGTATGTTTCTGTTTTTGAATCCCCTATAAATAGATTGTTTTTGTGCGGTGGGCACCATACAGAGGTTTCTCCCTGAGCCTGTGCCAACAAACACCTAGTATGACTTGGGGCATGCCCTGGGCTCACCGTAATTTCTTGCTGGTGAAATGACTTATCCTCTTCTGTAGAGCAAATTTGACAGTCTCTCTGCAGAGGCAGCCCAAGGTGCTCGGTGAGTTGAACTGTGTCAGTAGCTGCCAGTTTGCAGCTGATGGGAAAAGTCCAGGTCCATCCTGGCACCTAATCCTTGGCTTCCCATGTGGATTCTGGCCATGGGCAGAGCGCTGATATTTCATTTCGGGCATTGTCCCCGATGAGGCCCCAGGGATCACGATCCTGAACCTCCAACTTCACCAGGAATGCAATGACAATTATTTGTATAAACTGGGAGCTCACATATATTGAGGGTCCTTGTTTGCTTGGCACAATGCTGGGCACTTAAAACATGTGTCCTTATTAATATTCACAACCGCCTTCTAAAGTAGATATCGCTAACTTCATCTTCCTAGGTTAGGAATGTGAAGCGCATTTTAAGTAGTAAGTATGACCCGAGATTAACATCCTCATGTCTGATTACCACGTTCGGCTTTCCACATGATTCTAGTGGTTTCAAATATGGGGTTTCCAGGACCCCCCCTACCCCAGGGCTCTGAGGGACTAACAGGCGATGAGGTGGGGGAGGGGGAGAGGGGCGGGACCACGCCAGCATCTCCACTCTCATTGGTTTACGAATCATACGTCTAGGAAAGCCTCCCTTTAAAGTTAGGCTCTGCTAACCAAATGGAAGCTCAAAACTGTTGTCCCCACCACGACTTCATGAGGCAAAATATTTCCTCGTAGAAAGTACAAGGAAATGTGGAGACAGTGGCTCCACATTTGTTTCTGTTGTTCAAATGTGACAGCAATGAACATGTCTTGAAGTAAGCAACTGCCATGTCGAATTGGAAATATTTGTATCATTTAGAGATTTCCAGTGTAAGCACATTTTATGTATCAGTTTCTCCCTTGGATTTGTTTATATACTGCCTTTTGTATTCATTTCAAAGGTCTTGAAAAGCATTTCCAACTGGCTGACTGAGGAAGGATGTCTCTCAGCCCTCCATTATGTGATCAAAAGGCATTTAAACGACTATCTCCTGCCTGCAGGGAACACTTGGAGGCACTTTACAGTTAAAGTTAAAAAGATTATGGTCCTGGTCATCAAGCAGTTTATAAATTTCACAGGTCCCTGATGGGCCAAGACTGTCTTTTTCAAACCTTCTGTTTCTAGTCCAAAGTGCACTCCTGCTGCTCAACCTGAAGTGACTCTCCCTTCCCACCAGCCTTCTGAGGGTCTCCGGCATGTCACCAACTCCAGTTCACTGCACGCGCCCACCTCCCTCAGATCGTCCTGTCATTTGCCCCACGTCCTTGGGGCTGTGCATTGATTGCCTTTCTGCTCTGGTTTTGGAAATTCTTTACTTCATCACCCTCTTCTCTTGGACTGTGACAGCACTCACGTGTCGAATAGGAAGGAAGGCATTTCCTTTGATAGGGCCCCCTCCTAGGGCAGGATTTCAGCTCCGTGTAGATGAAACTCAGGCTTCTTTTCGGCTGGCTAGGGCTGAGGGCCTGTAAACGTCTTTTCCGTGGACGTTTTTTAATTTCAATGCGATGAAACCTAGTAATCGCTAGATGGCGCTCAACAGCAAAAGAAGTAGGAGGAGATTCAGAGCAGGAAAATTTAAGAGCCCGAAAGGATTTCAGTCTACTTCAGAACTACCACGCAGTGCGCATCGGTAGAGGGAAGCGAGGTCTGCTAGGAACTGGCACGGTGGCAGAAGCAGCTCCCGGGGACCGCTGGTAGGGCCATTACGACTCCGTGGTTACCGCGGCGGATCGGGCCTGGCCGGCCGGGGTATTGTGCTGCAAACTCCTGGATCATCTTTTCCCCTTTTCAAAAAAGCAGAGCCAGGGCCCCCGAGTTCCAAGGCAGGCGGACCCGCGGCGCCCCGGCGCCCGGCGTGACCGAGCCTCACATCTGAGAGGAGCGAGCAGATGTACCACGAGTCGGCCCGCGGTACCGGGGCCACGCGCGCGCTCCTGCCGCCGGCGGAAGGGGGGGGAGCCGGGGGGGGGGCGCTCTCCTCTCCCCGGCTATAACCGAGGCTTCGCAGTCCGGGTTTTGTTGGTGGGGAGGGAGAGGGGCTCATTTCTTTCCCTGGGGCGTCAGGGAATGACGAACCGCACATCCCAATCAATGGTAATGTGCAGGGCATGGGGCGCACAGCCTAGCCCACAATACTTTTAGGGGTTCACGAACATGTTTTAAATTTGTTCAGATCAGAAGAAAAAAAATGAATATAATCCAACCTGGATTATATTTGTTTCTATACCAAGGCAACCATAAAATAGAATTTTAAATATTTCTATTAATTAGTATTAATGTTTAAAATCAATATTCTTGAAGGGAAAGTGTCTAGAGCCCAGGAAATCCTAATGCTGCATTGGTAGTTTGACTGCTGCCTTCTTTAGGCTTGAAAATCCCTTTAATTCAGTGCTTGGTGCTGAGTGCTTAGTAATTTTAATAAACATGGCCCCCTTCTGGGGGGTTCATCCGAGACATAAAGCAGGGACCTCACCTTCCACCCAGGCCCAT